AAGAAAGGGCATCTCATTTTACTGAAATTTGCATCTTTCCGATTTCTGGTCTGCTTGGCCATTATTTCATGTTTCTTTGGCCACTTACTCGGTTCTTTATGATGTCCTCGTGTATTTTTTTCAGGCAGAAGTTTCAGATTTGGATGTGGTCATATTTATAGACCCCTTCTTTTATGAATTTTGCTTTTTTAGTATCCTTTTTAGGAATGCCTCCCCCAGGTCATAAATATCTTTTTGTACGTTTTCTTCTGTTATGAAGCCTATGTCTTTTCTGGCTCAGAGCACTGCCTGAATCGCCACATCTTCCGTTAGGGCTGGTCGATGAGCCGGGATGCTGAGCAGCTGTCCAGAAAGCAACAGTGTGTGCTTTCAATGGGGTCCAGCTGCAGGGCAGACTCAAGAATGGGCTTCTTTGGCTGCCTAAGGGGACTGGCTTCTGCGGCAGCAAGAAGCTTTCCTAGGGGCCATCATAAAGCAAAAAAAAAAAAATATTCCAACTACCAATCCAGAGAAGGTATGCAATGGCCTTCTCTGGAGATGGCCATAACCCACGACATATACTCATTTGTTTAGGACACTTAGGGTAACGCCACCTGGAGAGGCTCACGCATTCTGCTCCAAGTTTCGGGGCCTTTGCCCAATGGAAACACAACGTGAGCTACCTGGGCACTTTTAAATTTCTGGAAGCTACACTGAAGAGTCAGTAAAAAGAAACAAGGAAACTAATCTTAAGGATTTAACCTAACGTTTCTGAGACAGTGTCATTTTAACAGGTAGTCAATATAGCATATTTTTAATGAGATATTAACACTTTTTTGGACTGAGTCTTTGACATCTAGTGTGTATTTTACACTCACAGTCCATCTCGGTTCAGATAACCACATTCTAAGGGCTGGGCAGCCACCTACGTCTGGCGGCTTCCGTGCTGGAAAGTTCAACCCTGAGGATTAAGACAGAAGGTCCAAGATATGCGGGGAGGCATCTTCTCTGTGATTATGAAGGTGTTTAGGGGACCACAGTCTGAGTGTTAAGTCCACTCTTCACCCTCCTTTGCAGCCCAGGCTTCTTCCTACAAAAGTGTATCATAACTTCAATTATTCCCACCTACTGATGTGAATTAATCATCCCAAAGCACAGTTTTGCTTGGATTATTTCTTGGAGAGGATGTTGTTGACTTTTGGGAGGAGGTGATCATTCAGCTGAAACTTGGAGGGTAGGAAGGAATTAGCCAGCGGGGTCAGAGAGGACGGCCTGAACAAGGGGTTGTGCAGAATGGATGGGCTGGGGGTAGAGCAGACATCAGATCCCAAGGCTCTGCTGGGGTTAGTGGGGGCCATCCAACATTCGTCAGTAGGGGGTATGGGAGAAAGGCAAGACTAGAGACAAGGAAACTAGTGAAGAAAATGCAGGTTCCAGAGAAGAAGTACAGAGGGTCTGATCTAAGGCAATCATTCATTCATCCATCCATTCCACAAACATTTGCCAAGTGCCTACTGCGTGCAGAAAACAAAGCAGACAAAATCCGTGCCCTCATAGAACTTCAATATCTTGTAGGATAGGAGGTAAATGGTGGGTGATGGAGGGTGTTCCTCAGTTTCAGATCTCACTGTGCTGAATGGTGGGGCTATTCATTCTCTGAGACGGAGGTTCAGGAGGCAGAGCAGGTTTGGGAAGAAAGGTTCGGGTTCAGCTTATCTTTTTTGACAAATGTTTGGGGTGTTTGGGGGACACTTCAGTAGAGCTGTGTGGCAAGCAGCTGCATGGACATATTTGGAGTCAGGTGATCTGGAAGGTGCTGACTTGTTAGAATGTAGGATCTACTCATTTGCTCATGCATGTATTTATTTGACAGCTACTGGGTAAACCTAGAATGTGCCATGCATTGTACTAATTGCAGAGGATTCAAAAATGAGCGAAACAGATATGATCCCTACCTTTGTAGAGCTTCAAATCCAATCAGGATCACAGCTGGTAACAAAGCTCTAACCATCACATGGGAAGGGGTAAGGAGGAGGGGATATCCAAACCTGTGAGGGAGGAATGGGGGAGTGGGCTGGGCCAGACTATCAGAGACCTTCGAGACCATGCGAGGAAGAGGGAAATCTACCTTGATCTGTTACCAAGCCCCGCCTCCCTGACAGTGCTCAATTTTGTCCAGTCCTCTCACTGACCCTTCACTCAGTGCAGGCTACCATCCCCTCCTGGAAGGGAGGGGACAGGTTCTCTAAAGGGCCTACTTGCCTCTCATCTCCCCTACCCCCACTATCACCTCCAATGCAAACAGAGTGAGTTTTCAAAATGAGATGATGGTGTTACATTCTGCGGTAGGCAGAAGTCTAAGATGGCCCTATGATCTCCACCCCTCTGATGTTACTCCGGGGATTACGTTATGTTACATAGGACAAGGAATTCTGCGGATAGAGTTAAGGCTAACTAATCAGTTGACCTTAAAACAGAAATAAGCCCAGTGAATCCACCTAATGAAGTGAGCCCTTTAAAAGCAGGGAGTTTCTCCAGCGAGTAAAGGGCAAGTCACAGATACTCAAAGCCTGGGAGGTTTCGAAGGATTCAACATGCTGTTGCCAGCTTGGAAATGAAGTGGGTCATGTGGAAAGGACCTAAGAAAAGCTTCTGGGAGTGGACAGTGAGCTCCAGCAGCCAGCCAGCAAGGAAACAGGGACCTCCCTCCTCCAACTGCAAGGAACTGCATTCTACCAACAACCTAAGTGAACTTGCAAGTGGGTTCCCTCCCAAATCCCCCACAAGAGAACACAACCCAGCCAACAGCCTGCCTATAGCCTTGGGACACCCTGAGCAGAGAAGCCAGCCATGCCACAGTGGACCTCCGGACTTCCAGAACTACGAACTCATAAGCACGTGTTAGTTCAGGCCACTGAATTTATGGTGATTTGTTCCACAGCCCTAGAAAACCAACACACCCCCTTGTTTCTAACCGTCCAACAAAACTTCCTTGGCAGACTTGCCAGGTCTCAGCATTTGATCCTTGTAAGAGTCCTATTAGATGGGTCTTTTATTATCACCATTTCACAGGTGAAGAAACTGAGGCTCAGAAAGGCAAAAATACTTTTCCTAAGGTTACCAAGCTAGTAAGTGACAGGGGGCAGATTTTCAGGGGGCAGAGTTCAGACAGTCTGAACTCAGAATCCACACTCTGTCACTTCTCACTGCCCTTAGAGTAGGTTCAAATACCCAAGCGAGGTATTAAAGACCCTTCCAGACCCGGCTCCTGCTCACTCATCTGACCTCATTCTTCCACACTCCTCTCACTTCAGCTCCCTGTAGCTTGAGTAACTGTAATGCTCTCGATTTCTTGACTTTGCACACTACAGCTCCTTCTGCCTGGAATGCTGCCTGCCTCTTCCTTCTGTTTTTCCTTTGGCTGACCCAAATGGGGCTTTTGGCCTTGGGTAAGATGCCACCTCCCCTGGGAAGTCTTCCTTGCCTTTCCCAGGCTCAGTGGATACTACTCCAGCATTCTCCCAGCAACTCATACCTCCCTTATCACAGCACAGAAGACCCTGTGTTGGACACGTTGACTCGGCTGGGGTCTTCAGTAGATTGTGAGCTCCTTGCTGGCCAAGACGATGATAGGTTCAGCTCCAAATGCCTAGCATTGTATCTGGAGCTGGTTCTTACTCAGTGAGTATTTACTGAGTGAATGAGTGAATGAAGAAAAGTGCTTTATTCCGGGGGCAATGGCAGCCATCCAAGGTCTTAAAGTAAGGGAGTGACCTTATCAGACCTGTGCTTACATGGGCAGAGGGCAAGTCTTGCACACAAAAGAAGATCCTTACCAACACGTGAGGATGAAAAAAAGTTCATTTATGCCGTGGTCTTGGATTTCTGGGGCTGTGAAACTTGTTTCTTTTCTGGACCACATATGAATACTGGATATGGCAGAAACTGTCACAGTCCTGACTAGCAGTGTTCTCCTATGAAGGTGGAAGGCGGAAAAGAGCTTGTTACTGGGGTTTAGGCCCCGAAATCCTGCTAGAATTAGGTGCCTCTGGCCAAGAAGGGTGTGCGAAGCCACCGCTATATAGGGAGCTACCGACATTGACCCTGCAGGGAACGTGGAGCGGCCTCTGAAGATCCCACTCAACGCGTAGACCTCTCCACCTCTACACTAGCTCATGGAACACAGGGCTATCTACTTCTCCTTAAATATGTAAATATTGCTTCCTGATGAGGAGGGCTGGAGGCCTTTCGCGTTAGACGCGGCGCTTACAGCTCCCAGCTGGAGGTCACGCGCTGCGGTGGGAGAGGCTCAGAGACGCTGTGCATCTTGGTTTTCTGGTCCGCGCAAAAGGCACTTGCCGGACAGCGCGGACAGCCTGCCGGACAGGCTTTGAAGGACCGAGGGCCGGGAAAGGCGAGAAAGTCAAGGTGCGTACAGCTAGCTCTACACGCAAAGGAGGGAAGCCAGTGGGCAGAGGGAGACGCAGCGCTGATTTCCCCCGCCCTCAGGCACGGGCTCCAACTCTTGAGCAGAAGGGTCTACGAGTCCGCCGTCGTGCGGACGCGAAACAGGGCGGCGCGTCCCCTGAAGGGGCCGAGATCCCCGCCTCCGGCAGCGGGAGAAAGGGGTTGCACTGAGCGCTCAAGGCGCGGCGAGGCTGCGAGGGGCGGGTCTGGGGGCTGCCCCTCCCGCGCTCCGGCCTGGGTTCTGGGCGCTGGGGGCGGGCAGGGGAGGAGCCACGTGGGGAGGAGCAAAACCTGGAGGCCCCGGGAATCTTGGGCAGAGCCAGAGCCGCAAGAGCCGGATCCCGGGCGCCCAGCCCAGGGAGAAAAGCCAGCCGTCCGGGCCGAGCGCCGCCACGGAGTCCGTGCGCAATCGGCGAGAAGGGCCTGTGCCGACGGTTCGAGGCTCCTAGGCTCCTAAACCGTCGCAGAGCTGCTTGGCTGCCCGTCCCCCACCTTCCCCCTCTGCCGCCCCGCCGGGGCCCAGACCGACCCGCCACCTGCGTCCCGGTTGCGCCATGGATCCTTCGGAGAAGAAGATATCGGTGTGGATCTGCCAGGAGGAGAAGCTGGTGTCTGGTCTCTCTCGCCGCACCACCTGCTCGGACGTGGTGCGGGTGCTGTTGGAGGACGTTTGCCGGCGGCCGCGGAAGCAGCGGCGGGGCCGGCGGCGGGGGGCGGCCAGCGACTCGCCAGGCCGGGAGGAGCTGCGGGAACTCCTGGACGAGGACGACGAGGATGACGATGAGGCGCTGCCGCAAGGCATGCTGTGCGGACCCCCGCAGTGCTATTGCATCGTGGAGAAGTGGAGGGGCTTTGAGCGTATCCTGCCCAACAAGACGCGCATCTTGCGTCTCTGGGCCGCCTGGGGCGACGAGCAAGAGAACGTGCGCTTCGTGCTGGTGCGCAGCGAGGCGTCACTACCCAACGCGGGCCCCCGCAGCGCCGAGGCGCGCGTCGTGCTCAGTAGGGAGCGCCCCTGCTCGGCCCGGGGGGTCCCGGCGCGGCCCAGCCTGGCCATGACCCAGGAGAAACAGCGGCGGGTGGTGCGAAAGGCCTTCCGCAAGCTGGCCAAGCTCAACCGGCGGCGCCAGCAGCAGCCGTCGTCACCCTGTTCGTCCACGTCGTCGTCCACCGCCTCATCCTGTTCGTCTTCGCCGCGGGCCGCCGAGAGCACATCCGTGGAGCGCATGGAGACGCTGGTGCATTTGGTGCTCTCCCAGGACCACACCATCCGCCAGCAGGTGCAGCGGCTCCGGGAACTGGATCGCGAGATCGATCGCTATGAGGCCAAGGTGCACCTGGACCGCATGCGGCGACATGGAGTCAACTACGTGCAGGACACTTACTTGGTGGGCGCAGGCATCGAGGTGGACGGGCCCAGCCTGGGAGAGAAGCCGGAGGCGGCCGCGGCTCCCCTGGACGGCGAGGCGCAGGCGGCCGCGCTGGAGGAGCTGGCCCGGCGGTGCGACGACCTGCTGCGCCTGCAGGAGCAGCGAGCCCAGCAGGAGGAGTTGCTCGAGCGCCTCTCGGCCGAGATTCAAGAGGAGCTGAACCAGAGGTGGATGCGGAGGCGCCAGGAGGAGCTCGCGGCGCGGGAGGAACCCCTGGAGTTTGACGGCAGCCACGACGGTGAGCTGCTGCTGGAGCAGGAGCGGGTCAGGACGCAGCTCAGCACCAGCCTCTACATCGGGCTCCGGCTCAACACGGACCTGGAGGCTGTCAAGTCGGATTTGGATTACAGCCAGCAGCAGTGGGACACCAAGGAGCGCGAGCTGCAGGGCCTTCTCCAGACTTTGCACACGTTGGAGCTGACGGTAGAGCCCGACGGGACTCTCGGCTCTGGCGATCCCTCCCGGGAATCCAGGCCTCAGGGCCGCGCCGAGGTGTGGGTGGATCAGGCCCGCGGGCTGGCCAAGAGCTGTCCCGGCAACGACGAGGACTCGGATACCGGGCTGAGCTCTATGCACAGCCAGGACTCGGACTCGGTGCCAGTGTGCGAATCTCTTGTGTAAGGGGAGCAGGGTGGGAGAGGGGGACGACCCTCTCCACTTCCTCGCAGAAAGCACTGGCATGGCCCGCTCAGGGACTTGAAACTAGGTTGGGGGTGGGCCGGGGACCCCTGCCGGGGAGCAGCGCTCCCACTGGCCCAGGGAGGTGGGAGCAGGGGGAGGGCTGGGGACGCCTGTCCTGCGCTCCCAGTAGTGAGGGGTGCGGGAAAAGGGAGGCCAGGTCTCCGTTCCAAGCTCTTTCAGGGGAAGGAGGGAGGAAGGTGGTGAGAACCTCCCGTACTGGAAAACAAAAGCCCCAGGGAAACTGATGTGGTCCGAACCCATTTTCAAAAAAAGAAAAAAGAAAAAAAAAGTATTATGAAGATTTCAGCAATCTTCTGTATGGGAAGGACTGATGGCAGCTAGAACTTCAGTTTGTGGTGCAAAGTGCTTTTAAAAGAAACTCTTGGATGAAAAGGAAATTCCTTGAATGTTAATTGTGACTGTGAACATGTTAAAACTAGCCAAAGAGGAGCACTGGTGTTGGTCTCAGCCTTACTTACATCTCTGATAAAACCCACAGGCACCCAAATCCTGGCTCTTTACATTTCTGCAGATTGGGGAATTGCCCATCTGCTAAACTGCTTGTCTTACTTTCTTTCAGAGGCTGAGCTGTGTGGCCGCCTAATGCTGCATTTCCTCTCTGCAAGTACAGTGTGAGTTCAGATAGAATCCCTTCCCTAAAATAACCTCTTATTATTACAAAAGCCAAACATAACGCTTTTGAGAAAGAGAAGCCTGGCAGACACAATCCCTGGTTACAGTTTAATCAAGCCTCCTTGGGATTTGCTGCTGCAAAGGGACCTGCTCTGTCCTTTCTTAACACCTCTGCTGTCCCTTCATGTACGAAATCACTGTTACGCCAAGAAGAAAAAAAAGGGAGGGGGGAGGTTTGCAGAATTAAAGCGAAGTGCGACTGAAGTTACTATTTAATGAGCACTCTGGTTGAAACTGAGACTTGAAAGCAAAGATCTTTGTTAGTGTTAGGCTTCTGAACCAAGCTATATGATTAAAACCAACCATGACCTCAAGGTATTTTACTCCAACCCAAGTCCAACTTTAGTAGCTTTGGTCAAAGATTCAGTAGTTACTTGTCCAAGCCTAAGTGGAAAGTGCAAACATCAAGGTTTACCAGATAAGGCTCCCGAAAGAAAACATAAAATAGAACAGTCTAATAGTACACCTTGGGTGAGTAATTTGATTAACCGGGGCACGCAGCCGTAGATAAATACATAGGAAAGTGGGCTTAGGGACGACTTGAATTACTCTTGCCTGGTTCATGCCTTTGAACACGCCCAGAGATACAAGTGTGACACCTCTCTCTTGCTAGCTGGTGACCGAGCCCCTGTGGGGACGCAGTGTAATTGTTCCAGTTATTTCAACAGAAGTGATAAGTTGTAGCTGGCTGTTGCCCGGTGGAAGGAGCCTGTTGGCAGCGTTCCCTCTGGAGCTCTGTACTTCTGAGGAATGTGGGATCTAATCTCTCCTGAGGAGGTCCTAACAATGGGGTGTGTGTGTGGGGCCAGCCTGCTCCAGAAGCCCAGTATCCACCTAACGATGGAGAGGCAGGCTCCAGTTTCAACACAAGTGAAGATAACTTAAAAGGTCTTGCTTTATCGAGAAGTTTCTTTTCCTTGGAGAGCTTCTCTGTCTACTTGTTGCCAGCGGGGACCTGCCCACCTCACCCCCTTAAACCAATTAAACCGTCTCCTTTTTGGACACAGCCCTCCCATCCCCGCACTATTGCAACACACGTGGATATTTCAGATTTTCAAGTAAAATGAGAATGAAATGGCCGTTTTCTTAATTGATGTTTTCAAAAGACATTAGCTGGCATAATTATGGTTTTTTAGTCTCGTCGGATGCAGAAAATGTCTATGCGTTTGGTCTTGAGCATGATTAAAATGAGAAGGGGACCAAAAGAAAGCCACTGTCCCTAGACGATCATTTGATTTGGTAAACACAAAACCTAATGATAGCTTCCCTTTTGAGGCAGAGGTAAAATCCTCATTAGAGTGTGACAAACGCTACTTGTCTGAATGGTTTATGCTGGCAATGGGCTGACCTGGTGGTTTTTAAAATTATTGTGCCCTTTTTCCCCCCAGTCCCCTAGAGTGGTAGGGAGGTGGTTCTTAGATGTTTATTAACTCAAAAGGGAACACAGAAGTTGGCAGAACAGGACTGCCTGGCAGAAAAGGGCTGTTTTCTTATTCACTATTATTATTTTAAACTCTGACAGGCCGCTGACATCAGCAAATACGCCTGAAGCCTGTAAAGCAAATTAAGCCACATCACAGGGAGAAGGCCTGTGGGATTCTCTAGTGCCCTCCTTCTAGAACCTTCCTGTCCTGTCCACCTGAAGATACTTCTCCAGTCAACTCTTCAGGCAGTGTGGAGGCTCTGTTTGTAGCAGAGGGCAGCCCAGTCGGCCCATTTCACCTTTCATCCAAATCAATTATGTCCCCAGAAGGCACTCTCTGTGTGGGTAGGAGAAAGGAGGGGGGGTGCCAAAATAGAAAAGAGACAATAGCTCCTTTTACTAAGAGCTTTCGCAAGTCTGAGAGAGGTGGAGTATGGACATAAAAAGGACCGACACAGCGCCTGTGCCTAGAAAGTGCCTCATAGGTGCTAGATGCTGAAAAAAAGTTATTTTGCTGAAAAAAAGTTATTTCCCTTAAAACATAATCATCCTGGCACTAAGAATGAGAATGACCACATTGAGGTGAAAGCGTCAGCACTAAGGATGTCAGAGCCCCTGGGAGAAGTGCCCCCTGTTCTGGTGTCTGAGTAGAACAGAGATCCTGGGGAAGAACCAGCCAACTCGTGGAGGACGGGACGAGGCCCCATCATGCTGGGAACTGATAGCCTGTATCTTGGCTTTGATCTTGAGTAGCCCCTTCTCAGTCATCTCCCAAACCAGAGCGGTTTCATCTGGTATCTTTGTGTTCGCTTATAAAACGTGAGGACGATGATTGGCTGATTAGAGAAGTTACATACTGTGGTCCTTGGGACGAACCTGAGAATAGCAGAAGTAAAAAAGAAAAGAAAGAAAAGTCCCTCAAAATCCCATCACCAAAAGCTTACTATCACTGTCAAAATTTGGCATATTTTCCTTCCTGACCTTTTGAATTATGAAGATTTCGTATTTCACTTCTTATTTTAAGAAAATAATTGAAATGAGGTTGTATGGATGCTTTTAGGCTCAGGTTCTGACCATGTAAAGGCTCCATCCTTCTGTTGGGTGTTCCATTGTGCATATAACTGTTCTCATGTCAGTAGGTTGTTCCTGAAAAAAAAAAAAAAAAAAAAAATATATATATATATATATATATATATTACTATTATAGCACAACATTGTGACAGGCTGCTTTGGGCATGTGTCCCTTTTCACTGGTTAAAACAGAAAGAGACTTTCCAGGTCAAAGAGCACAAACATTTAAGGACTTGATACTTAATCGCCAAATTGCTTTTGGAAAGATTTGTTCTAATAACAACCTGCTGTGGGTGATGGGACCTATTTCCCCACACCTTGGCTTTCATTAGATGGTACATTTTGTTAAGAAAACATTTTAACTAGAATTAATTAATTAGTACTTTGGGGTTCCAGGAATGCAGGGCTGGCAACTGCTGGCTTAAAATACCCTTACAACAGAAATGTGCATCGTCTGACCAGAAGTGGGAAGAGGATATGATGCTTTCTCTCCTTCCTGTTTTCCTTGTCTTCCCTGAGCACCTGCTTTGTAACAGCGATCTTGTCTCATATCAGAGCTGGCCAACAATCGGTCTGGACAGGAGGGCCAAAAACTCCCCACGAGCAAGAGTAGGAGAATTAACATGTAAGAGAAACAGATTTACAGAAAGCAAATATTCATTAACTTTTTTTTCATCTTGAGTCCATGAGAAAAGGTTATTCTTAGAAGGTGATGTTTTAACATGTATTTGATTTTGTGCTTCTCCCTACCCACTCCTATTAAAAATTATACCAAAATAAAATAAATACATCAGCCCACTATTAACAGCCTCTAAAGAACAGTTTTGCTTTTTTCTGGGAATTTCTTTCTACCTATGACATGACACCTGAGCTTATCTTTAAATTCTTGGAAAGGGAAAATTTGGCCATGAAAATTTGTAAAATTTCCCATGTGGAAATGTTTGGGAAATGGATTGTCCTACACAGAAAGAAAGGAGGACGAGGAAAAACTCTTTTTGCTGAGTACTTTCCAAATGCCAGATCCTTGTGCTGAGTATCGTCCCATGAATTTCCTCTGCATTTGTCTTGTGAGAGAGAATTCTCTAACCTCCAGTTTTTACAAAGACACTAAGACCATCTAGCTGGTAAGTAGCAGAAGCAGGACTTAAAGCCTGCTTTAAAGCCCCCTAGCCTGACTAGAAGACCTGTGCCAATTTTGCTCTGTACACCGGGCAGGTCATACCCATGAAGGGTTCAGCATGTCAGGAGAAGAGATTCCTCACACGTGCTAGAGTGTTGGCCCCAGAAGGACCTCAGAGTTGACCAAGTCTTGTCCAAGTATTTCCACCAGGATAGTGGAGTGACTTTCTCAAAATCATGGAACCAGTAAACATCTACTAGGTGGGGATTTAGGAAAAGATAAAGGAGGAGAAATTCCTGTGTAAATATCTGGGCATATTTCTGTCAGAGGTGAAGTCCTTGCCAGTGGAAAAAAAATTCTCCCCCCAAATGAACACCCTATGTATTGGCATGGAATTTTCTACTGAATGCCGTAAGGGCACAGGTGACTAGTCAGAAATGGGGACTCCTCAGCCATCGGGGCAGTGTGCTGTTCACAATCACATCTGGAAGGTGGTACCATGGCTGTGCTGAAACTCTCCTCCCCACCCAGTTCCCCCCCACTCAGTCCCCCCGGGCATTTTTAACCATACCTCATTTCTGGTTGAACCTCTGGACACCTGAGGACTAGGGAGGGGGTGTCAAGGGAGAGAATGTTGGGCATTCTGAGGACTCCCGTCCTGTGGACATAGGCACGCACACTTGATTTGGGGC